CATTTTATATTAAAAACTCTGACGAATATAAATCAAGTAATATAACTTATAAATTGTTGAAATTTATTTTATAATGTAGTATTTTCTTTTAAAAACATTTTTCATATGAATCTGCTACATGTGTAACGATCTATTTTTAGTATATAAGACTATTATTAGTTTTTAGTAAAGCGAAACAAATTTTCATTAATAGGATATTTTTTATTTATTCATAAAAGTAACAAACAATTTCATTTTATAATCTTAAAGGACAGTTTACAGCTCTATAGCGTTCGGAATTAATTCTTGGCACTCGGATCGCTTGAAGATCACGTGACCAAGCTCGCCAGCTACTAGTTCGCATCTCAGATTTACATTGCCGAACGCAATGTGAACCATTGCGCATAATGGCGGAGTTCGACCAATCAAAATTGTACTAATTTACAGTGTACTTATTTGCAAAACAAATCATGTGAATTTCTGTAAATGAACTCGAAAGTTGATTGATTGACATATCTCCCCACTACTTTCAATCTACTGCGCATCCGTGGGAATGGTTCACCTTACTTTTTGTACCATGTACGTAGTGTGATCCTATATTTCAAGTACGCTGGGTTCATTCGGAGCGACCCCGAGTAGCTCCCGAGAGACAAAATGAACAATACTTATGGTTGAGCGTCAACATGAAAAGGTACTTTTACACGTGTATCAAGTGCACGATGTAAACTAGACCATAAGTTTGATTTCCTGATCTCTTCATGTTGGCAACAATGCAGACAAATAGTTTCGAGTAACGATTTTTAGGTTACCTCGTATATAGTGTAATCTGCAAGAGTGGTGTAAATCTGGCTCGAGCTGTATCCACAGGATATTAACAAAATGTCCAGGAGAAATTCCGGAGACGATTTTAGAAAAGGTTTTGTTCATTTTATCTATTACGCTGCTAGTAAATGTAGATAACGCACATTACAATCCTGGGAAGATACTTATAGCGATTTCGGTCATTTGCACTACGCTAGATCTATGCATACTAAAAGCTGCTATACATGAAATTAGCAAAGTTAAGTGTAAAAGTATATAAATATTTTAAACAATTAACTATCTACTAATGATATTGTCATGTTATTTACTAAAATATGTATGGATTTCATTATCAAGGTATATCATTTCATTATCAAAGTTGATTACATCTCACTGCATTGAAATATTTTATATAAAGTAGCTTTTAATATGCACTAATCCAGCGTAACGCGAGTGATCAAATTCACCATTAGATATTATTTCCATGCATAAACTATTAAAATGAATAAGGTCTTTTTTTGATAAGTGAATGAAGATTTTACAATGGGCGCATTCAGCGGACTCAACAGTTGAGTGAGCGCTCGCTATTATTGGTATTCTTTTAGATCATCTAATCAAAATTTTAGATCTAAAAGAATACATCAACAGTAGCAAGCACTCACTCAAGTATTGAGTCAGCTGAACACAGCCAATGAGTCAGTAATCTATAGTTGGCTGGTGACCAAACTTCACCGACTACCGATAAGACTTAGGACTATTGACTATCAACTCATTATAGAATAAGCTTCAAGCTATAAGAAATTGGCTAATCATAATTCATTATTCTTATCACATTTGACTGTGACTGGTTAATTTCTTACGGTTTAAGACTTAAGTAACAGCTTATTATAGAAAGCTTATAAGTCTGCAAACATAATAGGTGTAGTAAGCCTTAAGAAGAACAAGGGTCTGAGCACAAGAATCGTAACTTTTTATAAAATTTTTCATTTTTCACTTTTTATCCTAGGAAAAAAGTTTCATGATTGATACCCAGACAATACAATAGATGTTTTTAAGCCTTAAGCCACAAGGAATAGACGAATCACAATCAATTATTCTCCTCTTATTCGACTGTAATTAGTTAATTTCTTACGGTTTAAGGTTTAAAAACATCTATTATAGAATTAATAAATAGTAATAAGACTCTGTACATATAAAACAATGTGGTAAAACAAGGGCAAAGAGCCAGTAATGCAGCAAAGAACTTTAATTTAAATTAGCATTAAAAATTCATATAAACAATTATAATTGACAACAAACGTTTCGAGTCACTCCAATCGAGTCATTTTCAATGTAATCATAATATTTCAACATTGTTCTAAACCAAAAATATGTACATGGTATTACAATACTATTATAATTTTTAATCCTGTATTCATCATTCCGTGTAGTACGCTGCGAGTCATTTTTATCAAAAATCAAAGTAGTCATAAAAAAATTCTTGTCAGTAATATCAGTAAATGTCTTAAGAATCCATTAATAAAAAGAGAGAAAAAAAACGCAGGTAGATGGTAGTCCATTTCGTTGTACAATATATTGGTTTATTTCATTATAGAGGAGAATAATTGATTGTGATTGGAAAATTCACATGATAATAGAAATAATTTCATCTTGTGATTTTATTGTTATCGAGTATTAAAGAATTAAATAATAGAGAAATAGAAGAAAAAGAACATATCATCATTTGACTTTCCACATGACGTAATTTTAAAAAATTACATTTGAAACAATCAGTTATGTGATTTACTTGTTTTAATTACATAATTTTGTTTTGTAATTGTATGACGTGATTTTTTTTTTTAGTAGAATTACCACTCTATTGTGTTTGCGGGATTGCAATAAAGTAGTAAACCTTAAGCCTTAAGGAGTTATTCCCTCTTGAAGGCTTCAAAATCATACCTTATTTTGGGAGTTGATTACTAAAAAACTATACATAATATAAAAAATCGATTTATTATCTTAGTGTACAAAACGTGTAATAATTATATTCTTGGCAAACAAAATGGCGGCGCTACAGTACGTTTTTCAGAGACCTGCGAGTGATAAAGGCATCCACGGCACTGAACTATAGGGTCTTTAAAAAGTCTGGAAACGCTAAAATATCTCGAAAACGATCAAAAATACAAGGTGCGTCCCAAAATTTTCCGAACTTTTGAAATAAAACAACAACGGTTTACTTTTTTTTTCAAATTCAAATTGTTTATTCAAAGTAGTCCCCGTCGGACTCAATACAACGTTTGGCACGATCTAAAAGCATTTCAAATGAGTGTTTTATGTCGTTCAAAGGCACGTCCTTCAGAATAGTGGTACAAGCCCTTTGGATGTCTTCTACGTCCACATACCGCTTTCCTTTCATGGACAAATGCATTTTGCCGAATAGGTAGAAGTCACAAGGTGCCATATCAGGCGAATACGGGGAATGGTTGATTGTTAAAATGTGATTTTTAGTCAAAAAATCAGTGACAAGTGTCGAACGGTGAGATGGCGCATTATCGTGTAACAAGCGCCAACTTCCTCCTTCGCGATATTCTGGCCGAATACGACGAATGCGGTGCACCAAACGCTTCAAAACGCTTACATAGAATACAGCATTAACTGTTTGGCCTGCTGGAACGAATTCTTTGTGCACAATACCCTTGGAATCATAAAAACAAATGAGCATTGTCTTCACTTTTGACTTCTCTAAACGCGATTTTTTGGGTTTTGGGTCGTTTCGCGCCTTCCATTCCGCGCTTTGACGCTTGGTTTCTGGATCGTATTGAAAACACCACGTCTCGTCACCAGTAACAATGCTATAAAGGAAGTTTTGGTCCTTTTTTGCTTCCTTAATAATGTCCTTTGAATGTTGAATTCGATGCATTTTTTGGTCGTCAGTCAACTTGTGTGGAACAAATCGTGCACAGACTTTTTGTAGGCCCAAATGTTCGGTCAAAATGCGATAAATCGTTGATTTGGGGATGTTCAATTCCATTTCCATGTATCTCACTGAAGATTTTGGCTCATGCTTGATGAAATTACGCACAACTTCGATGGAATGTTCGTTAAGTGTCGATTTTGGGCGACCTGTATGTGCGTCGTCATTTATGTCCTCACGACCGTTCTTGAATCGCATATACCACTCATAAACACTGGCACGGGCTACACAATTATCACCATAAACTTGTTTCATCAAATTATGGGTTTCGGTAAATGTTTTACCAAGTTTAAAACAAAACTTAATATTGGCTCTTTGTTCGAAACGCAAAGTTGTAGGACTTCAAAAAAATCTACGTAACTGATGATAAAAGGTTGACATTGGGAGTCTGCAAGATCATATGAAGGTCAAGTTGAATTTTTTAAATAGGATTCCCCTCTTTTGATTACATAGTTTTATAACTTATTTCAACAGCTTTTCAAAACACTACAATAAAATATTTTTTCATTAAGTACTTTTCAAATTATAAGGCTTGAAAGTTACAGTATCGTCAGCATTAGCAAAGTGTCCGACCGACGGCTAAAACCTCTCGTTCAGAATCATGTCTTGGATAACATTTGGTAAGATCAATCATCCATTGGAGATTATTCCTCTTAATTTTTTGCACTAAAAATTCATTTTTGCGCAAAAATGAAAATAAGAGATATAACCTCCATTGGCTTTGATTTTGACAAATGTTATTCAGAACATGATTCTGAATGACATTCAAGAAATTTTAGCCGTCGAACGCCTTGCGTAATGCTAATGCCGGCGTTACTGTAACTTTCAAGCCTTATAACTCGAAAAGTACTTCATGAAAAATTATTTTATTACAGTATTTTGAAAAGCCCTCGAGATGTGCTTTAAGAATATGCAATGAAAAATAGGGAATTCCATTTAAAAAATTCAACATGACCTTGCAGACTCCACCCAAGGTCATGTTGAATTTTTCTCTTATCATTAGTTAGGTAGATTTTTTGAAGTCTTACAACTCTGCTTTTATATATTTTTCGCTAGAGTTGATCGTTTTCGAAAAATTTTAGCGTTTCCAAATTTTTTGAAGACCCTGTGTATACACTGGAATGGCATCTCCGCTGTGAAGCATAGAAAATCGTCGCACCAATTGATCATCGCCATTTTAATTTGCTTGATATAAGAGCGAATCAGAAGCTTTCAGGTGCTCATGCGTAACTTACGTTGAGTATTCTTTAGTGAGACGTATAGCAAGATGTCAACAAGATTATCGTCTGTGGGGTTATATTTGAAAGATTACTTCGAAAAATTATAAAATCGCGATTGTAAAATGTGTAAAGCATCAACATGAAGTGCTGTGTGCCTGGGTGTGAGCAGAAAAGTAAAAAGGGCTTCGGATTCGCTCAAATATCCCAACTAAAATGACGGCTGATCAATTGTGGCCACGAATTTTCCTCGATGCCCATTCCAGTATACAGAATGTTTCTTAAAAAGCGGACACTAATTATATAGCGCTAATCCTAATCTAAAATTGAGTCGAAATTTCCTGAGTCATTTTTTTTGTACAGTGCTGCATGAAGTTATTATCGAGTAAAGCTAATCCAATGGGCGCCGTCATTTAAACGGACGCACGTCCGTGAGCCGCGCACTTAGTAGTGTGCGTGAGCGCTTCGCCGCGCCGCTATGCCGCTGACTTCGCCGCTATTGCGCAATATTCTCACGCGTATATTATAATAATGCGAAAAATTTGTTTTGCATTATTGCAAAAATCATATTCCTTCTGTCAGAAGCATTTTCTTTGAGGAAAATTTTAACAAAGAATAAGAACTCTCGTCAAAACGTAGCAAATTATAAATTACATAAAAAATATAATCTTTTGCTTACAAATTACTTAAAAAATCTTTCTTTGTAAATTCAAAACTCTGTAAGTCTCCTTTGACGTCGCGACACATAATAATAATTATACAAATGAAAATATATCAGAATTAAATTATATCAGAATTATAACAGAAATTTATAATTATTATTATGTCGCAGCATAATTTTAATTTTGTGTACAAATATTTTAACGTTTTAATATTGTTAAAATTGCTAATAATAACATGCATATGACAAACCATTTTATTACAACAGGAAACAATATTCTAAGGCTAATATTGAAGAACTTAAATTTCTAGCTGCCGGTTTATAATTATGTTGTTACGTAATAATAATTCAACGAATTATAGTTATGTAAAGGCATAATAAAAATTTTATGAATTAAAATTATATTCTGACATAATATGATAATTTCGAACTTTTATTACACCTCGTACATAATAGTAATTCAGTTAATTTTAAATTGTGTCTAAATAAAAATTTTGATTATGTCCTGACATAATTTTAATTTTTAATTCATTTAATTATTGTTATGTCACAATATAAATGCGGCAGCTATAAGGCTTTGAATTTCTTTATTAGCTTAAGAATATTATTTTATTCTATTAAATATCAAAATTCTTTGCCATATGCATTTTATTATTTGGAATTTTAACAATGTTATAAAAATCAAATTCCTTTATCCAGAATTGTCTCGACATAATTTTAATTCATTAATAAGAATCGTTATTCCTTTTAGACAATTATTTTTTAAGAATTTTACATTAGAAAAGTATCTTTTATGCCATATTGTTTATAAAAATAAACTTACAGTAAAATTTATTCAATTATAAAAAAAAATGTAAATCTTTTTATAAAGAAAGGAATGTGTTTTTCTATTTTTTAATGTTTTCTTTTATTTCGAGTATTTTCTTTTATTTCTTTTATTTATGAACTCATTTGGATATGTAATTGTCCTAATAAATTATTATTTGTAAAAAAGTGATAGCGTAGCGTAAAATTTATTAAGATATTTCTAACAGTGAGATAGCTGCGGAGCGCTACGCTCTAATCTTATTGTTAGAAATACCTTAATGAATTTTAAGTAATGTAAACGGAAGCTTGTGGTCAAGCAGGAAACTGGAAAGTAATGTGTGATATGACTGAAAATTAAGTTACATAATCTCAAATGTAATGAACTGTCCATTAAATTTAATGGACAGTTTCATCAGAAATCTTAACACTTAGAGCCTGAAACAAACTACTCACTGAATCTTTCTGCGAATGCTTTCATCCAGTTACAATGAAGTGATGCATTTTTTTAAATGAATTTATTATGGCAATTACATATCCAGATAATTCCATAGAATAAAAGGAACTACATGAAGCATGTTAAAAAATAAAGAAAGATATATTTTTTTTTACATCGTCTTTTTTTTTTAACATTAACCAAAATTTTGTATTCAACATTTTATACAGAGATTATCTCATAAAAAAGAGAGGAACTGTTTTATTAATTTTTGCAAATGAGAAATGTGTGTGTGTGTAAAATATAGTGATCCTGAAAAAGACTGTTCTTTAATAACAGGTCTTATAAAGATTTATTAAAGTAATTGCTCAAAATGAGCGAGCCTCGATGCACGCTTCCGCACGAAGAATTAAATTTCGATGTACGCGTCGAACCATTGCTTCATCAATAGTTTGCACAGCTATTTGCATCCTTCCAATAATTTCTTCAGGTGAAGCGAGCTCCGTTACATATAATTTTCTTCAAATGACTCCAAAGAAAAAAATCCAGCGGTGACCTAGTAATAATTAATATGTAATATATTAATGCATTTCCTTTTACATATTTTCCTCTCTTGCCTTTCTAAATTAAAAATTTCTCGTATCGCGCCATCTGATTGACCCATATTGGCCTCTTTATCCAGTGATCAGGAAAACGTTCATTTAGAAAATTACGTCTCGATATGTATGCGGTGGTGCTCCATCCTGTTGAAAAAATATAACTGTTCTCTGCAGAAGAGGAATTTCTTCTAAAAAATCTGAGAATCTTTGTCTTAAAAATTCAACGTAACCTCTTCCCTGTAAAAAAAACGTCACATTACTATGTATTGATACATATTGCTCAATAGTCAATCAAGAGATTTTTGTATTTTTTATCGTCAAAATATCTGGTAAAAAAGTGGGATTCATAACTCTCGTCACCCAAAATGCCTGCCCAGTAGTTCAGCTTCCATCTATGTTGAAAGCTGCGCGTATATGTCACATGTGGATTTATAACTTCATAATGGTGTTGATTGTGACAGCTGAATATGTGCGCGTAAATAAAGATTCGTCTGTTCACATTATATTTTTTAGAAAACTTTCGGCTTCGTTGTTATGAAGAAGCCAACGACAGAAATTTTCTCTGGCACGGTGGTTTCTCTCATTTAAATATGTTCAAAACACATCCATGAAATGGATAACAAATCATGTTTCAATACCCTGTGGGCTGTTGCGGGACTGATATTTAATTGACGGCCTATTACACGTGTACTAGTCGTAGCATCTAACTCGATCATGTCCAAAATCATTTCTTCCGTTTCGATTCTTATTCGGCGTTCACGACCAGCACCAATTTTAGGTTTTGACATTAAACAATTACTATTTCGAATCCTTTGATCTAATCTTCCGAAAGTTCTTTAGGTGGGATGCATGCGACTTAGTGCTCCGCATAAAGATAATATTTCTATTCTAAAAGGAGACTTACAGAGTTTTAAATTTACAAAAAAAGATTTTTTAAATAATTTGTAAGCAAAAAGATTATATTTTTTATGTAATATATTGGGTCATCTAAAAAGTATCCGGTTTTTTGTCACTAGATGGTGTTGATGGTCAACACCAGTGGTTAGATGATCTAATATAATCTGCTATGTTTTGACGAGAATTCTCGTATTCCTTGTTAAAATTTTCCTGAAAGAAAATGCTTCTGACAGAAGGAATATGATTTTTGCAATAATGCAAAACAAATTTTTCGCATTATTATGAAATACGCGTGAGAATATTGCGCGATAGCGGCGAAGTCAGCGGCATAGCGGCGCGGCGAAGTGCTCACGCACATTATCAAGAGCATGGCTCACGGACGTGCGTCTGTTTAAACGACGGCGCCCATTGGATTAGCTTTATTCGATAATAACTGCTTCATGCAGCACTGTACAAAAAAAATGGCTCAGGAAATTTCGACTCAATTTTAGATCAGGATTAGCGCTATATAATTAGTGTCCGCTTTTTAAGAAACACCCTGTATGTATAGTTCAGTGATTCACGGTGAACATCAGAACGGGTCCAAAAAGTATGCTATATCAAAAATTTGATTAATTATTTTTAATCTGCATTAAAGAAGGGTACTAATTTTCAAGAGTTTCGCGACCATTCGGAGATCGTTTTATTTCTATGTTTTTTTATGTATTTTTCTTTGTTGAAACCAAAAATAATCATTATAAATACCAAACTTAAGAAAAAATACATTGAAATAAAATGAATAAAATCCTTGTTCGCATCATTATAAATCACTGTTAATTATGTTTCATTGATTTAGAAGTTAATCCCAAATTGGAATTAAATGCGAGTAATATCGCATCACAAAACATTAATTAGATTATACTTTTTATTAGATCATTTGTCACAAAAAAAAAATTAATAATCTTATGAAAAATATGAAAACTTGAAAATACGATAAAACATCAATTATTGCTTTCTAACTAATTCTTCTTACGAATCATTTTATATGATTAAATTCAATTTTGACTGTAATATTGATAATGATAATTGAATACGAAAAAGTTCTTTTATTTAAAAAACAATGATGAATGACGAGATGCCTTCCTCCTTTTTATTCGGATTTGGGACCGACAGAGGTAAAGTTACATCTCGTATTACATATTTACATATATACATATATATCTATGTATATATATATATATATATAATATATATATAATATATATATCG